TCTTAATACGGCACTTTTAGAAAAGCCGTTCGCTGGTGGTAGTACGGTGCCCAGTGAACGAGTACTGAAGCACTAATCAGCTTATTATGAAGTGTCGATATTCAGGAACACACATACATTAACCTAAAGATGAACCGATTCATTCGTACGCTAAGTATTAGTATGGTAACCCAGCTTACTTACGTTTTGTAGGTCGGATAAATTCCATGAGAATTGCGCCGGCAATCAGTTGTGTTACTGTATAAGTGTGTCTCATGAATGTGAATTTCCGGCAAAAATTTCAAAAAATCAATAAAAACTATGTAATAATTTATGTCCGCCGAGGTTTTTAGAGTCTTCTGTCTGAAATGGACTTACCGGCCAGTTGTGCGGAGCGCGCAGTGAGTGCTGCAGACTATCAAGGTGGAACACAGCAGCGGCCATGGGAAGTCCTCATGCGATTTTCTTGTATATAGTTGGATCGAATCTGGATGCAAGCAAAAGAAGTTACCTTTGCATGCAAGTGCCTCGGACAGTGGCAACTATGGGTGGTATTCGCGACTTTCGAATGAAAAATGACCAATCTCCATAGATGGTCCAGGTTCGTTGTGGGGGTTGTCGGCTCGTTTGAATCGACTGAGTGGCCATACAGCCGGCCTTATGCGGTCAAAAGCCACCACTACGAACTCAAGTACTGCGCTATGGCCAACTGTAGGTATGCAGCTTGCGGATCCTTCATGACGAAGCTGGCTTAGCTTAGCTGGCCTAGCTGCCCTACTCTCTAGCTACCGCTACTCCTGTTGGACTACAAAACGAAACAGACTGTAGTTCAAAATCGTGAGACTCTATCCCCGCACTCCCAAGTCCACCCGTAACCCCTCGCGCAGATGCTGCCCCAGCAAGAGGGCAATGATGAATTTAAACTCAGGCTTAGTCTCTTCATACTGGGCTTCTATGCAGCTCATGTTAATGGTGGTCATGATGATGATGATGATAAAAGCCGAGTTCGTCGTGGTCGAAACTAGACAGTAGCACGCTCTTCTTGAGGCTGGCGATCCTCCTCCATCCAGCCTTGTGTGCTCATGTGAGGTGTTGCTCCATGAGTCACTGAAGCTGCTGCGGCCCTTCGGCCTCCTCACCTCTCGTCCTATTGCCGCCGACCGCTACCGCTTCTGCTGTTGCCGGGATCCCGGCGAAGAGGAGCTTGAGATCCGCGACACGCGACAAGATCCACGAGTCGCGCCGCCGATAAGTTTTTAGGCCGACCGCAGTTGCAGTAGTTGAAGCAGCCTAGACGCCGCTGCCTGTCGTGCCATCCAGGCCGTAGTCATTGCGCAATGGAGCTGCTGCTCATTCACTATAGCAGCAGCGGTACAGCGCGACCGTCGCCAAACCACCGCCATCACCATTTCACCTCTACAATCAGGCGAGCGGCAGCAGCGGTCGCTGTGGTTCGCGGTTGTGGTGGCTTCACGATGGTATCAATGATGGTTGCGCGGACCCCTCAGCGACTACGACAAAATAGGAGACACACTCGGCGGAGTCCTTGGCGCGATGGATAACGCCGGGGTCTGAGCGAGTGAGCGACAGGCACAGGCACAAGGGGACGAGGGGTGTAAAGACCTCCGTGGGGAGCAGCGAATGTAAACAGTGCAGCTGGTGTCCCATAGTCGGCGGCGGCGAGTGCCGTATGACCGATACCAGCAGAGAAGGAACAGGCGCAGTATTATCGCCAACATCAGCCTCACCAACCACTACATCGTCATCATCATCATCATCGCGATGATGATCAGGACCACATCACCATTATCATGGGAAGTAAAAGTTGGACTAGTAGAAATCATAGTGGCAGTCCCACAAGTACTAGTGGCATAGCAGCCATTGAGAGAGGGCTAAGGTAAACATCAAAGTGCCATTTGTCGGCTTGAGTCGAGTCGGCACGGAGACCACGATGACGCGATGGCGACAGCAGTGGCATCAGCAGCAGCAGATCATTTCGATCTTCTCCGGCGGAATGGAAGAACACACAAACGGATGAGCGAAAGAAGAATCTCACTCTTCCGTTGCCAATGGACAAACAGTCCCATCGACGCCGCTCAAGGGATTAGCTGATTTCAGAAAAAAAGAAGGAAGGAACAAACAAAAAAGACGGAAGATAGAAAAATGTACCGTATATCGATATTTCTTTTCTGTCCGATCAAACCGAGCAGAAAGGGTATCTTTATTATTCTACCTGTCCATAGATGCACCACGGTATCTACGATATTGAACGCTCTGGATTAAGTCATGCTTGGCCCTTACGCCTCGTGGCTGGGTGGTCTAAGCTCGGATAGTGAGCGGCTTAAGGTTAGCTTCTTTGGCTTCCAATACATACATACACACGCACACACAGATGCACATGCAGATGACAAGTATATCCAGCAGACTGATAGATATTGTAAACGGGTGTCATCTGGGTAGGAGCTGTGGTGAGCATTTCTCGCTACGGACTGTCAGACATTTAAACATTTCATATATATGTGTGTGGACGATACAATAAGGAGAATACTGTTCGCGAACGGCACTTGATTGGGCGGCCGCTTACTTCCTCTACGTTTTACCAAATCTTTCGGTTACACTTATGAGCAGCCCCCCCCCCCTCCCTATGTCTCTCTCTCTCTCTCTCTCTCTCTCCATATGTATATATATATATCTCCAAGCCAGTCGAGTTGAACGAAGGAGTGCACCTGTTAATATATGAGTAGCATCATCTACGTTAGGTTTAAGTTGCTGTGGTTTTCTTTATCTATTTCTTTTCTCCTGAATACAAGCGCACGGTGTTGTATTTGTCGTCTGCTATAACAGTGACGAGTTTAGCCACCTGCTGTTGCCGATATTGGTTTTGTTTGATAGCGACGAAGTATTGTAGTTCCGTAGATGGGGAAGGCGCTACCACTACATTTGCTCCTGGATGCGCTAGCGGCAGCGGTGACGGTAGTGGTGCCGATGGTGACGCCAGGGGTCGTCCGTTGCTTGACCCCGAGCGCTTGTTCGTTCGTTCACTGACTAGATGGCTGACTTACCAGATCGTCGCTCACCAACCGATCTTGATCTTTTTTCACCGTTGTGGTGCAACTGCCGCTCCGTCGTTACGGCCGCTGTCGTCGCCACAGCATCAGCAGCAGCGCGATTTCCCCTGTACTCTCGACGTACCTACTGGCACCAGAATTCTTTTGCGTTTTGCTGTTGTTGTCTACGGCTGATGCTGATTTTACTGCTGTTTTTGGTCCTGCTGCTGCTGCTGCTGCTGCTGCTGCTGCTGCTGCTGCTAGACACTGTTGCATAGCGGTGTAACTGGCGCACCATTCTAAACCTTTCACTCGACTGGCTCACTTAGCAAACGCTGCGTTGCAACACTAGCATCGTGGCCAGCCAGCCAACCAACATTGCTTTATTATATATGTTGCGTTATGCTGCTGCGTACGGTAGGTCAGCTGCTGCTGTCGCTGTTGTTGTGCTGTGTCCTCGTGACGCTTCGTCGTCTCGGCTCTTTCTGCTGCTACTGGTCCTTTACTTTTTTCGGCTGGACGCGAGGCGGTTGGAGGGACCGACCGTCGTCTGCCCGTGCTGATGCTGCTAAATGTCCAACACCAGCACGGGAATGGAAGAGTGACGAAGCGATGAGCAACGACGACGGCGGTGGCGGTGAACACGACGCTCTCAAAGCGACGACCACAGAAAAAAAAAACAAGAAACAGAGAACAGGGGAGAGGGTGAGCGGATGTATAGGTAAAATACATACGATGAGAAGCGGTTTGCTGAATGCACAGCCCGTACCGGCATTAGCTGCAGAATTATAGATTTGAGGGAGCAGCAGCGCCAGACAGGCACAACGCCATCAAAATTCACAGACATCGGTGCTACATCCGATACACAGGCATGTCTCAAAGGCAGCCAGAGTAAAAGCAACGCGTTTCAAAGGCGACGCGCGCCCTATCCCTGCCCCTTCACTCCTGGGCAGTTCCTCGACGCTTGTGGCCGTTTAGACCCAATAGAACAACGCTCTTCGGATGGGCTCCATACATACCTATGCCTACCTACTAATATCGGCGCATTCACTCTCGTGAACAAGCAGACATGCAACGTAACCACGGACAGATTGATATCGTCAGAGTTCACCTGATCACACTGTAGACAGAGACAGACGCTCCGACGAAGGATATACGTGCGTCCTATACATTTATGAATATCTATATTAGACTGATAAATACAAACGAGCGATAAGGTGAGAAACAAACTTACAGACTGAAAAAGCAGAAATGTGTACATACACAAATAAGAACATCTTACATTTTTATCTATATATTGTATACCTGAAAAGCCCGTTCAAATAGCAAAGACCTTTGATTTGCCTTAGTCACTTGGGACTGGGACAAAAGGACAGAGTACAAGCTAAACGATCGAACTATTCGAAATTATATTTTCTGCATGTTCGCGCTTGTTTCGTATAGGTAACGCTATACTTTAGTTTCCATTTGCCATAAAATAATAACAAGCGAATAATTAACAACTGTTGCAACAATTAACAACAACTGTGGCAGTTCTGCCGTTATCAGCTTACAAACACCATATATGTATGTACGTGTATATATATATATACATATACGCTGACTTATTTAAATGTGGCATATTTAACTCATATGGCAAAACCGGGTGCGCGCTCGTCGCGATCAGTATTACGTAGAGACACTACGTTTGGGTCGCGCTTCGGTTCATAGATTATTTTTGCACGATGTCTTTCTTACTATAGAACTCTTCTGGATTCAAAGTACTCTAGTTGTGGCCCCAGTCTATTTTTGCAGAACAACTACTGAGAGATTGCAGTACTGATCGATAGCATAACTGTATAACACTGCTATTATCATTGTTCTTGGTGAGCAACATATAGGACAGGTATATTTCATAAGCGTCCGGTTTGCAGTAATGTCCTCAACTTTCGCATGTACTTGTTTCTGTCTCTTTTTGTCCACGTGATTTTGCAGCGGTTCAACGCGGTCGTGTACCGCCTTCATCCCACGGCGTCGTTGCTGGCGGGGGCCCTACTGGCGGTGGCGTTCCGGTGGTGGTTCCATCCCTCCCTGGGCAGATGCCCGCCATCGCTGCGTTGGCGAACGGTTCTTCGGGGGCAGCGACGCCGTCATCGTCTTCGGACGGCTCGCCCCCCCAGCACCCGCCCACCCTCAACGGTGCGTCGTACCTTTCCAGCTTTGTCTCGTTGCTGCTGCGCGCAGAACAGTCGTATCCCCACTCGAGGTTTGCGCCTGGTATGGCCGGCCAGAACAACGCGATTATGGGCGACATGTGCGAATTGGCCGCCAGGCTGCTCTACTCGGCTGTCGAGTGGGCTCGAAATATCCCGTTCTTCCCCGAATTGCAGGTCACCGATCAGGTGGCGCTACTGCGGCTCGTTTGGAGCGAGCTGTTCGTGCTCAACGCGAGTCAAAGCTCGATGCCGCTGCACGTAGCGCCCCTGTTGGCGGCTGCGGGCTTGCACGCGTCGCCGATGGCGGCCGATCGCGTCGTCGCCTTCATGGACCACATCCGGATATTCCAGGAGCAGGTCGAGAAGCTCAAGGCGCTCCATGTCGACGCCGCCGAGTACTCGTGTCTCAAGGCGATCGTCCTCTTCACAACAGGTAAGAAATAGCGCAATAATAGGTACCCATTTCTAGGCACAGATGTAACTGGACGCAACATTTATAGCAATATAGTATTCTGTTAACTGGTTCTACACTACAACAACAACTACACTATTCAATGTTCTCCGATTTCTTGCAGCAGCTATTGCTGCAGCTGTGCTTTTCTTGAGAGCTTCTATTCCTTTTCGCTGGCTGCCATGTTGCGAGTAGTTCCTGGTATACCATGCCGTCTTCCTTCTTCAGCACAGTCCGGCCCAACTTGCTAAAATCGCTCGGAATAGAGCTTAACGCAGAAGCGATTCCCGTTCTAGCCCCTGTCCACTTATCCCAGGACCACCCACTTGTCCAGGCAGTCCGCTGCCGTCGCCGTCACCACCTCTATAAAGCCTTGCCATCGCTTCCTTGTCGCCCTTATGACACTGGCCATCAGTATAACTGAACCTCTTCGTTGTCCGCCTGTCTTTTCTTCTTTTCCTTGTTCTCCCCCGCCTTCCAGTCCCCAAGACAAGTATCTATCCGTTGCTTCTCCGGAGTTCATCTATTTTGGCTCTGTCATGTATTCAGCTTTTCTACCACTGCTGGGCCTGCTATGACTCTCGCGAGTTGCGACGCTCCTTACACTGGAAGGCGCAAGGACTAAGACGACACCCTCGCCGCCACATGGACCGCCTCCTTCCTTTTATGATGACACTTTAAGAGTCCCCGAAGAGCTTGATGGGGGCTAGAAGTAGGTGGAAAGGGGGTCCTTAGGGTGGGAAACGGCGGGTGTAAATGGAGGCGCTTAGCGTGCGCCGTCCGCTAAGGAGAGTGGTCCTGGCAAGGGCACGTTCTTCTTGTCTTACCACAACTCTGTTCAGCAGCCCCCCCCCCCCCCAATCTAGCGCCTGATTCCTCCCAGCTCTGTCAACTTTGCCCTTACTCTCGCCGGTACCGAGCGATACGAGCGCTTCCTCGTGCACTGGACGCCTACCCAGAAAGTTTGCCGCGATTCTGTCTGCGTGCAAATCGACTGATAGGACGAACATGAAAAGTCGAAAAGCTTGCAGTAATAGAAACTGGAGAAACATAAGGAATTATTGTTTTATTCCCATAAAATTTAACTCGTTATTAACCCTTTATTGGTAGCGCTGTAAGGTGTCGTATGTGTTACTACCTATGTACGAGCATATGCTCATGACATTAGACGAGACATTATTTCATAACGTTTTCATTCTAATGAAAGCATAACAGAGCACGAATGACAGAGTATCCTGCAGCATTGCAAATCGATAGCGTCTTTTTTAGTCCGATCTCAACGGTTCCCAGCTGAGCAGAATTGAAAACAAAAAAAGTTTGAAAAACGACGTTCTAGCAATTTTGTTGCCATGTCAATATCCTAAGAAAAGTTATGCTATGTAAGCAATCATACAGGGTGGGATTAAATGAGAAGTATTTCCTGTCACAAAGCCGAATACGTTCTTGGAGTCACAAGATCTGTAGGCATATTTTGTATTTCAACAGTTAACCGTTTCTGAAATACCTGCTTCAGACATCTAAGACGATCTCATTCTTGCACCGGACTTCAGTGAGCTTTCATAAAGACGTAGGCCACCCATCAGCGCAGTCTCATCAGGGTAGAGAAGAGCTAAAGTTAGACGTACCATGCTGCCACTGTAGAACTACTCGTGTATAAAACGTCGTATGCTCATAGTTGTACCGATGTATCGTACGTATACCGTACCAATCGAATATGAAAGCCAGTACGGTTCGCGGAATGCCTGACCCCCACCTTCAATCTTTGTCGGCCAACTCGTTTCAACATCACCACGGTCGCCGTCGCCGTCGTCTGGAGCTGCGACTGACTGTGCCAGCGACGCAACAAGCCAGTCAAAGCAGGCAGAGTTAGGTTTCGGTCAGGCGCGAAGCCGCCGGCGTTCATTTCTTCGCTGCTGCTTCCTTTGCTGGTCCCGTCGTTTTGGGGCGTGTTTTTCTCCTGCTGAGCGACCCCGCCAGGTCCGGGCCACACCTCAATCCGAAGTCGTTTGACTTCGAAAACTCTGCCCCAGTACCCCACGAAATGCGCGCGTTCCGTATGATGACTCGGCAAAACCCACACTCACCCACTTCTTCGTTTTCTCCTTCTGTGCCCCACAAATTAATGGCCAAATCGACACAACAGAACTTCGATGTTCATCGTTGCCGATCTGCCATCCTTCTTCGAGACCCTCCGATACCCCAGCCCGCGACATCCACTAAAGAATGCGGCACAAAACGCATCTACGAACTATATTTCATCAGGAATAGGTCCCTCGTTGACGGCGGTGAGATCGCCGTTGTCCACACGCTGTTACTGGTATTAGATTAAACTCTCCACGTAGCGATTCGTACCAGTTTCACGGCCTATTGTTGGACAGTTACGGGTAACTGCATGGCAATTGATTCCCTATTACGTATCTGTGAAACGACATAGGTATTATGGGTAGTGGATATTTAAGTACATGGGCTCTAGATCACTATGAAAATCAGATTCTCGTGCTGAATGAAGCAAAAAGGTTAAAGCATCAGAAAACTGTACCTCATATAATTTTGAACCTGTGCACATTTGATAACCTGCCGAAACAAGCGCCGGAGCCCCGCCAAGGTTATGACGTCTGGCCCGTCTGACACCGAAACGGCTTGAGTCCGAACTGCGGTTCCGCAGTCTGCATACGTAGCTGATCATGGGGCAAACTGTCTTTTTGCTCGACTGAACTGACACGCCCCCATTACTCTCCAACCCCGTTGTGGACGAATTTGTGAACTAGTATAGGCATTAGCCTGTGGCATCGTTCCTCCTTCAGGTTTCAACTCCACTAGCGTCGCGCCTTCGAGGAACACCAAGGCCTCGTAAGAGTGTCGACTGAAAGAACACCGCTCGGTGTCGCGACCGTCTACGGCCCACGCTCTACGGATAAGTATGAGCGGTGCGGTCGTATTTTTGAGAAGAACATCATTCCGAAACTAGCTTTTATTATCTATCGGCGGCCAGCTATGTAGACGAGTTTTACTGGTTAACCTGTGATTATCCATATTAGCATATAGGTACACATACACGCACGCACATCCATATATGATTACAACAAAGATCCAACCTGAGGTCTATAACTGGACAAGAGCAAAGTGGTCTTCTACTTCGCAGGTGCATGCTGCTTTTTTAGCGGTAGGAATGGATTTCGTTATCCTTAAATTTTTATTCGGATACCGTTTTGGCTACGTGTTGCCTGCCTGCGGTGTGCATGGGCCTATGGCAAGCCAACTATTCAATCTGAATAATTCACCTATCTGCTTATTATCCCGTACCATTTTTTGTCCTACGATCCTATGTACTGAATAGTCTATGAGGTAAACTATCGCCATGCTGTTGACGTTGTTGTCCATTATTGCTCCTGCTGCTGCTTCTGTTATTTGTGGCATCTTACGTGAGCGACGCTCCATCAGCGTCGTAACGCTTACCTCACCAAACACGGGGATCTCCTCCGACTGTTTCTAGTACCGTTTCTTGTTCCCCTTTTAACTTGTTCGTCACCGTTCTCTTCTGTGCCTGTTGCTACTACTACGGTTTTGCTTTTTTCTGCTTTCTGTCAGCACCGGCTACTCACTCGTCCACATGCACGAGCATACACACAGCCACGTTCATTATATATATGTGTGTGTATACGTCTATTCTGTAGGCAAGAAGGCAGAAAGTCTACTTGGTTCCAGTTGTTGTTGTCACTGTCTGTTGTTGCTGCTGCTGCTGCCGCCGCTGCCGCCGTTGTTTCATCGCGGCGCATCACGGACCTTTGGCCCTCGCGTTCACCCACTCACAGCCAAGCTTTCAACCCGTAAGCCAAAGCGCTATGTGCCATGGTTTAGAGGCAGTACAACACTGTGTAGAGTGACCATTATCCAGCTCTATCGTCCTGATCCGACTCCCTTTGCTGCTCCGGTGGGGTCCTGCGTCTAAAGCAGCGATAGCAGTTACCATTTCGTACACCGGATGAACAGACCAGCGACAGCAACAAGACGTAATGATAAAACCGGCCGCTTTCCGCTGCTGGCAGTTGCGCGCGCTCACTGCAGCAACAATCCTTCAGCAGAGTCTGTGTTCCTGTGTCTGAGTGTCTGTCTTTTATTTTTCTTTTGCTGCTTCGTCTGTCTTCTGCCTTCTGCTGACTCCCTTCGTTCTTCGGAACGTTGCTTCGTTCTGTTCGTTTCATCTCTTTGTCTGGCCGTCGTTTCGAAATACGTTTTTAACGATACGCGCGCTCTCCGCGCAGCTGAGCATCACATGGAGTGCTGCTGTTATGGCAGAACAGTGCTGCGGTTTCTGAGGGCCGTTGCGCTCCATTGTTGTAACAACAACAACGAACCATACCCAGCAAAGCAATATCGTAAGAAGTAGAAATCGTAGCAGTACTAGTGGGGTAGCAATGAAGTCTAGAAGCTGGCATTCGGAACATTTGTGGTGACCGCTAACGTCTTCGCGGTACGACTGAAACTGCTGATACTGCCCGGTGGCCGCTGGGCTGTTCGTCGGGCCGGTGGGTCGCTCCTGCCAATACTGGGACCTAGCGCTAAATTAAGTCTCCGTCACAAAGCACGTTCGATGAATAGGACTACATGAACACAAAATTTGAGACGTTTTCTTCTGTAGATAAGGATAGCATCCAGTTTTGTGCGTGTACATGTTTACCTTCTAGGGAATGAGGTATGCAGTTGGTAGGGAGCAACAATAAGCCTACCGACCTGTACTTTGCCTCTGTGCGAATGACAAACGAACAAATACGCAACGTCAACACAAGCAATCAATTCAATTTTCGCTAGAGAACAGGGTTAGTGTTGGCTGGTGTTTAGCTGGGGATGCTGTGGAGGTGAGTGCTCCAGTCTAAACATACGTAGTACGGCGGCATCCGCTCACCATCGCGGCCATTCTTGTCGTGCTACCCTATTTTATATTAATGCTTCTGTCCAACTCGAATTACTCGTCGTAATGAACA